GCACATGTTAAGATCGAAATAATTACTGATACAAACAGGTATTCTAGTAATTGTAACATTTTGGGGTCAGGTAGACAAGAAACACAATACAGTTGTTTTTAAATGTCACGCAAGCAAAGTAAATTACATGACATTAAGTAAAATATTAAATATTTATGCATATATGATGTTTTCAAAACAAAATTTAAAGGTCACGTTAATAATAAATCAATACTGACATTAGATAGATATATGGCAAATGTCACTTCCGTATCTTCCATTCAGCGTCAGTTTTAGTCGATTAAGCATTTTTCAGCTGAAAACGGCTTCTATCAAATTATGTTTACATTTAACAGTAAATAAAAACCCGTAATAGCTACATTAGTCCACAATGCAAAACACTGAAGCATCCCAGGGAAAGCTGAAAACACGGAATGCCAAAATGCTCTTGCCTGATTTCAGAGATACAGGTGATGTCATATGATGTCACAACATTCCCACTCCTTTCTGAACCGGGCTCCTGATGTCTTATATTGTGACAATACAGGAACACAGTTTCTAAATACTTCATATATAATACTTTCATCATTACGTTCACATTTTGCATCATTTAACCTAAAGAGGGCAGAAGTAGTTCAAGTTTATTTTTATTCGTATGCAAAATCTAAAGGACTCAAGAGTGAATTTTACTTGTTTGAGAACTGAGCTTTTATTATCATCATAAATTATGTATTATTTTGTTCATCATTTGTCTTTCTAAAATAACCAACCAGAATAGGATATAACATGCCATGTGTCTTTTTTCCTTTTCTTTGCTATGACTCTCGCATCTTTTCAAATAACAAGACATCTGATGAGAGTCCAAGAAAAGATGATTAACCTCTCTCTCTCTCAAAAAAAAAAAAAAAAAAAAAAAAAATCAGGTAATGTAACATTGTGTCAGCACTTTGAGAATGAGCTATTGTCATTCAGACATAATTGCAAGTCAGCCTGTGTTATTGGACGCAGAGGGCAGTGACCTACAGGGATCACACTCTTCTTCTGTGGTGTTTCATTGTCATTTAAAAAGGCTGCTTCACCTGCAGGCATGAATGTGCCTTAAAGTCACTCAGCAGACTTAAATATTGGTTGTGCTTTTCAGGTGTAGCAATCCAAAAAAGACAACCACTTTTCAATGAGATGGATGCAAACTCCACTGAAAGAAGTTCAAACACATAAATACATTTAAAAAAATACAAAACTTCATCTCTCAGTTTACTGTTCCAGATTGGGATTTACATAATATGGCAATGCACAAGTAGTGTCACTCATCTGACACTGCTTGATAATGTCCCACTGTAATCTTAGTTCAGTTCCTTTTCTATAGATCAGCTATCACATGAGTGCTCACTGTATTTCATTTTGTTTTGAAGCTCAATAAGATAATAAAAGAGCTGTCTGAATACAGGAATAAGAAAAAAAGAAAGGTATTTTGTCTAGGACAAATATTTGATGTATTTTTTGTGAACTTGTACGCCAATTTTTGTTTAATTCTAATTGACGTCTAAACTCCCAGGTAAACATTTACATCCTTTTGGAAATGTATCATGCAATTACTCCTGAGAAAGTTACAGTTCCTTCACGTTTTCAGGTCCCAGTCTGTCAGGTGAGTTTGCTGCGGTTCTGTGTGGGATGTCGGGGAGGTGTGAGAGAGTCAGAGCGGGGAATGTGAGGCCGATGCTTCTGAGGGTGACAGCGTCTTGATGAATCATATTTACACTCTACCCTTTGCAAAATGCCATGTGTCAACATCTGCCCGTGGCCAAAGCACTCTGATCTGGCAAAGCAAACACTGCGGAGCTGCCTGTCCGTCCTCAGTGGCTGCAAGCGATGTGGTTTATGTTTGAATCTGAAGTCTGGAAATGAAGAAGGGAAGCACCCAGAAGGAAGAATTTAGATGATTTGCTTGAGGGAATTTGTGAGCAGTTTTCAGCCGCGTCTAGGGCGGATGGTGCATGTTGTGGAAAGTCTCAAATAGGTGTCATGTGAAAGGTGGAAGTGGACGCAGTAAATAAAACCCTGTAATATATCGGATTCATCTCCACATTACTTAAGTTTCCACACACGTTATTCATTGAAATAATGACATTTTAACCAGCTTGTGGGAATAGAATCCTTAAAAATAATCAGAAGGATCAATGATGTCTCTTCTTAAATTTTTAATTTTTTTTTAGTTTCATGTGTTTTAAAAAAGCAGTCCTAAATAACCACTATTTATTGGAGAAAATTGGCTCTGACACCTAAAAACAAGACACAGACTGCTGAAACCTTCGCAGTGGAATCTGAGAGGTGGAAGACATGACTTGGCAGTTTACCCTCAGTGTTTGCCTCAAATTTTTAACGCCATGGCTCGAAGTCAAGCTGAGAAGTTTCCCAAGACCTGTGCCTTAAGGCGGGCGTTCCATGTAAGCTGTGGGACGGATGCTCCGACCCCACCCCTTGCATTAACTGTAGAAAATCAGTCTTCAGGGCTCCTTAAAGCCTCCGCAGTCAGCGATGTGAGGGTGCGAACATGCCCGACCACACCTCTGATGCCTTAGTGTCAGCCATCACAGGCTTTTTCCTCCTCTGCTTGTTGAGACCAGTTGCCTCACAGAGGAGCAAAACACACAAAAGGTACAAGTTTTTATCACTCCTTCCAAAACACATGTCAACTAAAATCCATAAGAAATATCTAATATTTGCATTCTAAGTATGTTTGGGCAACAAAACACAATAACGCCCTCCAGCTCAGATAGAAGAGACTTAAATATTTCAATATTAGTGCAGAAAATTTATGCTGCCATAGATTTAGACTACTGGGAGACAAACTGACCTCATTAAATGATTTGCTAAAATTGAATAGTTTTCATTTGATACTATTTTTTATCTTAGCATGTGCTTATCGACCTGCCATTGTGTATCTGTTCTTACCAAACCCAGTCGAAGCAGCTGGTCCTGAGCCTGGTTCTGCTAAAAGTTTCTTCCTCATGAGAGAGTTTTTCCTTTCCACTGTCACCTTTGTGCTCGCTCAAGATGAGAGTTATGCGATGGAGTTACAGTCTGCCCCTCAGATAAATATTTTTAAATTATTATTTTTTATATATGTATGTTTCTGTTCAGTGCCCTGAAATGACTTCTGCTGTGATTTGGCGCTATATAAATAAACTAAATTGAATATTTGAATGTTTTAAAATAATACATAACAATAGGGATAAAAATGACAAAAATGCTAAATATTTGGACATTTTTGAAGCATGTTTCCAATTAGTCAGTTTTAAACGACATTTTTACTCAATTTTATACCTTTTTGTTCTTATTTTCATTTTCTTTTTGTCTGTCAAATCCTGATTAGGACAAAGCTCAGCTTGTTGTTTGATGTTTGCGCTTGCTGATATCTTCTAAAAATAGAAATAAATTTATCAACAGTTGTTGTTACTAAGGTTTTTTTTTTTTTTGCTGCACTTTTTTTTTTGAACACATAACTTTTAGTCAGGTCTGGTTTCTAAAACTGGATACGCGGATTAAACGGACTAAAGTCTCACAACAAAGTCACTTTTGTCCTCAAAAAACAAGCGCTGGAGCAAATCCAGAAAAGTAGATTTTGTAGTCACAGCACTTTTTAGGACGTTTTCTAAAGTGTCAGTTTTCACTAAAAACATGTCAAATAAATGTCAATAGTTATTGCATAAAGCAGCTATCCTGCACTTTTTAACAATATTTTTTGGAAAGAATGTGGCTTAATTGTTTATATATATATATATATATATAAGTAAAGGCCTACTGTGATTTGATTATAAAAAAAAAATTATGAACGCACTTGTTTGAAAGCTAAACTCCTCAAAATGACATTAAAATTAAATTTAATGGAAAAAACATACATTTCTTCTGTGCAGTTTTTAAACAAATAATAAGGAGTTGTTGTTTTTTGTTTGTTTTCTAGATAATTTTGTTGTGTGAACACTATAAGGAGAGGAAAGGCATGTTTTAAGCATGTTTTAAATGTAATGACTAGTTGCTTTGTTGCCAACATTGCAGCAGCTTCAGCAAATCTTCCTGCCAAGTTTCTGGGCTTCTGTCGCCCCCTGTTGGTGAGTTTGTGCAGAGCAGCGACAACTGATGCCAGTTGCTCTGCAGCAGCTTAAAGACTCACATAAGTCTGTCCACAGTTTTTACACAGCAGTTGTCAGCATCCCAACATAAATATGGATATAATTATTTTATCAGAGCTGCAAAAATCAAGGAGAGTTTTTGCAGATTGTTTCTTTTTTCCTCTACATTTTTAAAGTTTAATTTCTCATTCAGTTGAGTGCTTCCACAAGTACAATTTCACACACAAACATAGAATATTGAACACAAAAAGCAACTCAATGTTTGATATTTATTTTATAGATTTTTTTTAATGCTTTTTTATTCATAGGAATAGAGTTGTTAAAGTTTTTTAGTCTGTGGAGAAAAAAGCTAAGCACTAAACCTTTCCCTTGTGTACATCATGTTTGTGTGGAAAAAAAGTCATAAATGTGGAAAAAAAATCAAATTTTATAAACAAAAACAATCAAAAGAGAAAACTTTATAAGGAGCGAACTGGTTTGGTTTCTAATGGCAATAGAAGAAATGTAAAAGCTCTAAATTAAACTGTTTCTATCGTTTTGCCAATATAATCTTTTTAGTTCATAATAATTTTCTGAACGTGAAATAAAATTACGAATGAGGGTGAAACCAAAGCCCAGAAGGGGAGCAACCACTTGGCTGAGCTGGGTTTTCACTGGTGTTGACTTACGTCTCCGCCCACTGAACGGCCCCCAGTCCTCCCAGTCATAAATTGCTGCTGCGCTTCCAGAGTTTGCAGACTGTTCGCCTACTCAACTCTGTTCTCTTGAAAAACACACAGATTAAAAAAATAAATAAATTCGCATTAGAAGAGACCACTTTCGATTTGCCATACTGTTTGTGAAATTGTGACGAAGCTAAAGGAGTGCTGAAGATTTCCATTTTTATTTTTTCTTACTTTAAAGGATTTCAGTTTGCCAGTCAAGCTGTGCGCCCTTAAACTCTCTGCAGTCTTTGGGCACAAATCTTGGATTTGGGGAAAACAAAGGACTTTCTTTATTATTATTTTTTTTTATTTTTTTTTCTTGTAAGAAGTTGTCCTTCAATTTTTTCGCATGAATCTCCTCGACCCCTACCTGAAGATGACAGAAGAACAGGAGAAGTGTCACTCTGACGTCCCCAGCCCCAGCATGTCTGAGGACTCCGCGGGCTCGCCGTGCCCGTCCGGTTCCGGTTCGGACACCGAGAACACCCGCCCGTCCGACAACCACCTCCTCAGGGGCCCCGACTACAAGAAGGAGGGCGAAGAAGAGAAGTTTCCCGTGTGCATCAGAGACGCAGTGTCCCAGGTGTTGAAGGGCTACGACTGGACCTTGGTGCCCATGCCGGTGCGCGTCAACGGCTCGAGTAAGAGCAAACCTCACGTGAAGAGACCCATGAACGCCTTCATGGTGTGGGCCCAGGCAGCCCGGAGGAAACTGGCCGATCAGTACCCACATCTGCACAACGCAGAGCTCAGCAAAACCCTGGGGAAACTCTGGAGGTGAGTGCGCTCTGCAGCTGCTGTGCGCTTTTACGCGCCGCTGTGCGCATTTTTATAAACTCTGCGCGGCTTTCCTGCTGTGATTGTGCGGCAATTTGACTGATGCCTTCTATGATTACGTTTAATTCCTCACAGGTTTTTTGTTGCAAAATCATTCAAGTTTGATTAGGAATGCTTTGCATTTGCTGCGACCTCATCCACCCAGGATGACTTCTGATAAATAAACCAACTTCTATAATCAAATGTGTTTTTTTTTCAGACTGCTCAATGAGGTAGAGAAGCGGCCGTTCGTGGAGGAGGCTGAACGCCTGAGAGTGCAGCACAAGAAAGATCACCCCGACTACAAATATCAGCCCAGGCGGAGGAAATCCGTCAAGAACGGTCAAAGCGAACCGGAGGACGGTGAGCAAACCCACATCTCTCCAAATGCGATCTTCAAGGCGCTGCAGGCCGATTCTCCTGCTTCCAGCATGGGCGAGGTGCACTCACCAGGAGAGCATTCAGGTGAGATGAAAAATCAATCTAATTAAAAACATATATATATGTATGTTTTATAATTGTAATATCTGTGCAGTTTGAATATTTCAGTTTTTTATTGCCATGCACAGACAGCTGTTAATGATTAAGGGTTAATGATTATAGTTTTACAAGGCAGAATTCAAATACACCTGTCAGGATTCAGCCAGTAAACATCTCACATGCATTTATTTAGGTTAAAACCAGCTGTTTGATGACAGAGTACCCCAGTTTAACCTCAAGTCTAAATGTTTTCCTCCAACCAGGTCAATCCCAGGGCCCACCAACACCCCCAACTACCCCCAAGACGGATCTCCCTCCCAGCAAAGTTGACATGAAACGAGAGGGGCGCCCCGTTCAAGAGGGCACCAGTCGGCAGCTCAATATCGACTTTGGAGCTGTGGACATTGGTGAGCTGAGCACCGACGTCATCTCCAACATGGGAAGCTTCGACGTCGATGAGTTCGATCAGTACCTGCCGCCTCACAGCCATGCTGGCGGTGCAGCCCAGGCTGGCTACACTGGTAGCTACGGTATCAGCAGCTCCTCAGTCAGCCAGGGAGCCAACGTTGGAGCCCACGCCTGGCTGTCCAAGCAGCAGCAGCAGCATTCCCTGACACCCCTGGGTGGAGGAGGAGAGCAACAAGGTCAAAGAACCACCCAGATCAAGACGGAGCAACTGAGTCCGAGTCACTACACAGAGCAGCAGGGCTCCCCACAGCACGTCACCTACGGGTCCTTCAACCTCCAGCACTACAGCACCTCCTCCTACCCTTCCATCACACGAGCACAGTATGACTATTCAGACCACCAAAGTGGTGCCAACTCTTACTACAGCCACGCAGCGGGCCAAGGCTCCAGCCTGTACTCCACCTTCAGCTACATGAGCCCCAGCCAGAGGCCGATGTACACCCCGATCGCTGACAGCACCGGGGTGCCCTCCGTGCCGCAGACCCACAGTCCGCAGCACTGGGAGCAGCAGCCCATTTACACGCAGCTGTCAAGGCCCTGAGGAAGCAATCAGAGAAGTGACTGAGAGAATGCTCACCCCAGACTCCCCCCCCCCCCCCACTCCCCCGCCACACATCCGTCATTGCCAACAGAAAAGCGTGACATAGACTTTTTTTTATAGCTCGAAAATTTTATCTTTGAATTGGCTCCCAACAGTGCCTTTTGTATCGGTTGGATTTGTGATTATATTTTTTTAGATATAATGTTTTAAAAAGTTAAATCCTCTGTGAGGACATGCTGGTTATGAATATAATAGTATGTACTGTGTATGTGTTCCGCTCTCATCATAGTCAGTGTCATCGTTGTGACTGGAAGGTTTGTTTCACCTAAAGGAACAGGGTCCAACACCCTCAGTGGCCTTACTTATCACTAATGTACCTTTTTATTTACAGGAAGTGAGAGACGTGTGCTTACTGACACTGCCGTCTTGTAATAGCCTTCGTTCTGCTTTGAATTTGTATACTGTACATATTTTAATTCCTTCGACATGCAGGAATTGAGCAATGCAAGTTTGAAATAGATTAGATTATTTTGGCCGTGAAATGACCGTGTCAAAAGTGAATTAATCCAACGTTCTACTTCTTGTTTGCTTGAGCTCAATTTATTGCGTTTGGAAAATGCCATAGCAGGTGCCATGTAACTCTTTTAGGGGCCTTACTGTGTTGCTAGATGTGACAGCAATGCTTGCTTGTATCTGCCTCGATACCATTGGTGCCTCCGGAGCCGCAGCAGTGAGGCTTCGTCCTCTGGCTTTGCAGTGTGGGACCGACAGCGCAGGACTTCCTGCTCCATGAGATTCAGGAAGTAACCTTTGACCTGAGCGTCGCCAGCACCCATCAGGTCTGAACATGGTGTGCTCCTCCACAGTTCTTTCTGCCTCGTCCTTCCTACTAACGTTTTCTTTCCTAATTTATTCCTTAGCATTAATTTTATTTGAGAATAAATATTTGCAACCACGCTTTGAAAAATTCATCAGCAGCTAACAATAGGTTGCTGTCGTATGTGGTACATCGTTATTTATCATTTGTAAATGTTACCGTATGAACGTTTCGTTTTTTTTCTTCGTGGTCTTCTTATGTACAGAATCACACCATAGATCTTTCGCTTAAAGAAAAACTGGATATTTTCTATTTTTTTTTTCTTTTCTTTTTTTGAACAAATGACCTAATGACTTAAAAAGCAGATGTAAAAATAGTTGGAATCGACACGATGCTGTTTTGTTATTTTTTGGGGAAAAAAATGTGCTCATTTTATATTCTGTATCATTAGTTCTCATTTTGTCATCTTTTTAATGCAGTTTCTCTGTAGGTGAACATGGCATTGCCTTTAAAGCTTATGTTTTGTATTATTTTTTGTTTGCAATAAAAGCAAAACTCAGAAATTTGTTGCTGTTTTCATCATTCACTGATGTTTATTCTTACTAGTTATTACAGAAACAGTCTCCACAGATAGGTAATATGCAAAATAAAACACACCGAGAGTTATTCAAGTTACTTATCTTTGTAAAAAAAGCACAATGTAAGCTAACCATCACAGTCATATAAAGATTTATTTATTTTTTTGCATTTGTTGGTCAGAATAAGAGGCAGCAGTTTGGTGAGATTTAGCTTCTGGCTGTTTTAGACCATGAGGTCACAGGTCTGGTATCACCCCCACCTATTGACTAGCTGTATGTCTGCACCCCTCCCTCTGCCTGTATACACAACGGCTTAAAGAAACAAACTAGACGCTGCGTGTTGTTTAATCATTACTGGCTAACTTATAGGGGAATAGAGCTGAACTTAATAAATCAGAGTGAATGTAAACACAATCAGGTACGACGGCTTTGTGTTGAAACTTAAGGTACGTTCACCGATGATGTCTCTTTCTTCACATCAGCTGCTTTTTTCTGCTGTAGCTCATGTTGGATGTCAGATTGTTTTATTCTGTATATTCAGTCAGGCTTACGCATCAGTTATAAAAATAAAGATCACGTCACATTATCGTTTTCTTTGAAATGAAATGTAATTCTAATGTAAAGCTAATTAAATAGTGACGTTTCTATGATGTTAATACTTGGAGAGGTCAGTTTAGGTTTATTGGCTGCAAGCTTGTTAAAAATGATCAAAATCACCAGAAAAATGTGCATGAGATTGCACCTGACATGGATTTTACACTGTTTAAACACGTAAATAGTCGCTTTTTTTTTTTTTTTAGTGAGCATGTTTTAAAGGATTTCAGCTTCTTCTTACTGTAGAATCTGTCAATCACACAACCGTTGACTGATGTTTCACAATCCACTAGACACACAATATGTTCAGAAACCACAGCTGCTGATGTATAAAAAATGTTTCTGCTTGTTTTTAGTGTCATCAGGCCTCACTCTGCTGTCTCTGGTTACAAAAGAGGACAACTTCCCCTCTGACAGTGAAGAGCAGTCAGGGTGTGCGAAGTCCACCTCCCACAGAGAGCCCCAGGGGCCCATCTATCACTGAATCTCCCCTGGCTCAAACCTGGAGCCATGCAGTGGGGCCCCAAGGCCTAACAGGGCGAAGGGAAGACGGTTACTGATTGCTTAAGGCAAAGCAGAAAAGTGGAGTGGTGGAAAACCTTAATACTCCACCTTTTTTTTTTTCTTTCTTTATTTAAGCCTGTAAAGCCAGAAATTTTACTCATGACTGACACGACTCTGAAGGGTGCAAAACAGGATTATTTTTTGTTCAAAACTGAAACCATCTGAATGACAGCGTGAGCGGGAATTAAGGGGCGCCTTTAACCCAAACAGTGGCATTAGAGTTTGATGAGCTCTTAGAGTAATATATTGTTATGAGCCTTACAATTATGCTGTCTGACTTGTCCGCACCGGTAGCAGAGCACCGACTGGCTCCTGATGGGACCAAGTTCATCTGCAGCCCAATATTCAGTTCAAAAGGTAAGAAAACAAGTTCAGCAAACAATAATCTATCATCCTAAGAGAACAACTAAATCTTTTTTTTTTTGGGGGGGGGGGGGGGGGGAAAGGTAAAAAAAATTTTTTTTTTTTTTTTTTTTCTTGTTATTAAAAATATAAAGATTTATTATTTTAATAAAA